CGCCAAATATGGTATAGTGGAATTTTTATACTTAGACGTATGTGCATAAAGTCTTCTGAAAAGACTTCTTGTTTTACCTGAGGAGATGGTAACAGTCTGACAAAATTCCTTTAGCAAATTTGTTGCATGAAATCAAGTGCCTATCATCAATGACAATGTCAACGATATGGCCCAATGGGATACCACTCGTCCTACTGACAACTAGTCTCCAGAGTTCTACGAAGTATGACATAGTCTTTTTTAAGCAATCTAGGAAAGAATAAGCAAGGGTGAAGAGTAAAGAAGAATAGGTAAAATACACGAGTTGACAAACTGTAAGAGGAGCAGGGGTTGAGTTATGCCTGAGTGCCTTAACTGCTTAATGTAAAAAGTCAGACGAAATATTATTTTAGAAATCGCTAAGACATGGAATTCGACCGCTTAAAGCAATAAGCCTCAGCTCCATAAACTGAATGGTTATATATATATATATATATATATATATATATACATTATAGGTGACTAAAATATGGTCCGCGTCGGAGGCACAGCGGTTAGGACGTTCGCCTACCATACACATGGTCCGGGGTTCGATCCCCGTCCGACACACTCCTCCCTTTCCTCGCTAAGACAGAAATAAAGTTGGTAAAGAGGAAAGGTTGGGCATGAGGCTAGCAACCCCATCCTGTAAAAAAATAAACACCGCTACAGAAACGTCAAGCCTCTAGCTTGAAGGCCTATGTTCCATTGGGAACGTCAAGGAATACAAAAAATATGGTCCACGATATTTAGTACATTATTTTAAAAGATTTCATGAGATGTGAATACCCTTCTTTTCTATAAATATGCTCTTTTTTTATTAAACAGATTTTTCTCAACTACGCACATGAATGGCCGATTGAATTAATTCACAAATCGTGTTTATTTATTGCTCCACCTGTTCCACTGATGAATCCACACAGAAAAACTGAACAGTCAGCTAATGCTGATATTGATGATGATGGTAATAATGAAGAAGGCAATGACAGCGAGTTGGCTGCCACTGACCCAGTTGAATTTCTATTCTTACGCTCACAATTAGCCCGACGGATTGCTTGGTTATTGGCTCCAGGAAAAGGACGTGCCAGTGTATGCTTACCAGCAGATGCTGCTGGTCTTTGGTTGCCGAGTTTAATTATCAGAGGTATACGTCATTCACCCTCGGTAGCTTATGAGGTAAGCGTTCTTAAATATTTCCCTTGTAGAAATATTTGGCACTGTGATGTCTTCTTTTTTTGGGGGTTGATGTTCTATATCACTTCAACTTGTTTTCCGTAATAATTTGAATAACTGTTTTAAGGATTATCAAGGGTTGGTTTGTAGGGATTTGATTTGTTTCAAGTTTGATCAGTTACAGACCCATTGGGAACCTGGGAGTACTGAGCAGCTGTTTCGTCCTAGTTTGGAACTCTTCAGAAGTACGCGCCCCTGACGCGCCACTGGGGATTGAACCCTAGACCTCCATTTTACGAGATGGCACTCGTTGAGCACTCAGCCAATCGGGTCAGAATCCATTTATTTATTTATTTTATCCCTTCACGTTCCCAGTGGAACATAAGGCTTCAAGCTAGAATTTTGAAGTTTCGGTAGCAGTGGTATTTATTTTTACGGGACGGGGTGGGGTTGCTAGCCTCATGCCCAACCTTCCCTCCTTAATTGTCTTGTTACTAACTTAGTGAGGTGAACGAGTGCGTCGATGGCTGGGAATTGAACCCCAGACCACATGTGGCGTGGTTGGCGAAGCATTCTACCGCTGTGCCACTGATGCACTTCGTCCATTATTCAATACCAGTTTGAATGGGGGTATGAATATTCAGTCAGCACTTGTCGTTTTAGATATTTAAGACTTTGACGGTAGTATCGGTTCGGCTTTGGATGTCATATGCTAATGCTTGTGGCTTTGACAGCTTATTATTTTATTCGTTTAACGGAAGGAAACAAATTCTCATAAGATGGATCAACTTACGTCACTTGTGGCGTAGACGTGGTATCTGGCTATTAATCAAGGAAAACGTGTGTACTGCATGACAGTTCACTCTGACTTCCTTTATAGCTGTGAGACATAGCCTTTGCAGATAAAAAGTGTGACAAAGCTGGCTATCTTTGATTCTAGTGCCTGTGCTTCATTTCTCATTCCAGGTGGTCTGTAATAATGAGGTCAAGCGTGTAGAGTGTGTTAGGTAAGGAAGAGGAGGAGGAACCAATTTAAGGGGTTGTCAAGATACCTATCGATTGAGATGGCCAAAACTTGTATTACTCATGTCGAGCCATTGCCTTCCTTGACAACCAGCAGCTTTATCCAATATAGGGAAATGATGACCATATCGTTCAGATCCGTTCAACACTAGTTTCTTATGTATTGTGATCCGCTAATGTTTAATTACAATCCATGAGTTAAATGACTTTCTGTCTTTGCTTTTTGTTTCACATTATAAATATGTCTCATAAGTAGTAACTTACTACGAATAATAAGAGAAATTTAATACACAGTTACTATGTAGTAACAGAAGAGTGCGTCTGTTGATTCAAACATAAGATTCAACCGTTTTATGAATAATTTAATAATTCCCATTGTAGCATTAAGAACACAATATTGAGCGAAGAGACTCTTTACAATAATGAATTTATTATCAAGCTGTACAATCGTATATATATGTATATGGTGTTTTTAAGAAAATATATCCGGTGAGGGAATTAGATCAAAGGTGTGAATACATGAAATAATAACTATAGTAGTATAAAATGCAATTAAAATATTTGTGATTATAATCATAGTTTAATGTCATACATATAATATTACATGAGGTGTATAGATGTTGTTGGAAAAGGGGTACATAATTATAGGATTAGTAGGCAAATATAAAGCGCTACGTAACATGGTGTGAAATTTGTTAAGATAGAATTCAGTATTGCAAAGAAAGATAATAATTTTGGATTTAGAATGACAGGTGGGACAAGCGGAAACAATTCAGAGTGAGAAAAGTAATAATGATAATGATAATAATAATAATCGTAGTAATAAGGGAAAAGCACATA